GATAACGTTTTGACGGTTTACTCGCAGAAGGAAAATAAATGTCAAGCTTGAAGATAAAAGGCAAGTTTGAAGATAAATAGAAGATTTCCAAGGAAGAAAAGGAAGGACCGAGAAAAATGGAAGATTCCCGATACACTCAAATCCGGGCAAAATGGAAAGATCGAATCGCCAAGGCGAGGAGTATATAAGCAAGAGGCATAGGGCAGAAGCACCACACACGAGTTTTCAGAGCTTTCACCACCAAACTTAGCATTTAGACAATTTTCCGTTTTCGTTATCGAGCTGCGTCTCAACTAGGGTTTTAGTCTTAGATTGCTAGAACTAGGAATTTTTCCGACGGCTCACACAGCTAAGGCAACTCTCGTTGTAACCGTTCTTACGCGAATTCGGAATAAGAATCCTTCTTGCTTCCAGTCTCGTTTTTATTTTTATATCTTTCAATTTATTCATATTAATCGACAGGTGTGAATTTCGGTTCCCACAAGGTATTTCTACAAATTCTCTACCAATAAAAACAATCATTATTTCAATTATTTATTTTTGATTAATGTTTTAAACCAATTGGACCAATAGAAAAGCAACAGATATAGAATGAATCTCTTTAGCATTTAGAATAGTCTTTTTATGAACAAGCGATTGTTACATACTCCCACTGCAGCTACACACACACAAGTTGAACCTAGATATTTAAATTTTTTTCCAGTGGACCCCGTTCCTGGATATAATTTTAGTGGTCATCAGTCAATAAATATCTGGCTACTTTTACTTTATAAAGTAATACTCACTAATCTTGATTGTTTTTTTTCTTTTCTTACAGCAAATGCTTGTTCTTTTCTTTCATTTTGGAGTATACCAACGTAATTTACAATTCACATTACCAGTTATAACAAATATAGAAGTATTACCTAATAATACAAAGCCATATAGAAGTCAACTCCATTCAAACATTAAATTGTTCTTTTTAAAAACAATTGACTACTAATCAATATTTATCAACGAAAATGAAATCTAACATTTGTTCAGAGATTGAAGAGAGATGGAATAATTAGGTATGCGTTTCATTTCTTCAAAAGAACAGCAACTTTTCCTTTTTATTGACCATGCAACTTATTAGATTAGGACATCATTACTTTTTTTATTTAATTTTATCTCATTGACTTCAACAAACTCACAACAAAGTCGCACATCTCTTTTAACAAAGCAGAGGAAATAACAGCAGATAGAGAGAGAAAGAGATGAGTTCACACTTCCTACAAGAAGCTTCAGAAGCTTGCTTCAATGGCTGCTGTTCATCACCATTCTCAACACAATCCGTAACTAAGAAACAAAAAGAAGAAGAGCACGAGTTCTCATTAATCACAACAGGAGCTTCGTTTCTTACCAGAGACATCAAGTTCACAAGCCAAGAATCTCTCCCTTCTCTCCACACATCTTTTTACGATCTCATCACAGCTTTTCCAGATTACTTGCAGACCAGCCAAGCCGATCATCTCCGATCTACAGAGTATCAAAACCTTTCGTACTCATCTAGCCACGTGTTGTTAGACCACACCGGTCTACAACAGCCCTTGTTCTCTTACTCCCAATCTATATCAGGTTCGGACCAATGTCTCTTTACCTTGTCTTGCAAGCAAGTGAGCTCCGGTGAAGAATTATTAACCTTTGCAACCGAAGAATCTCGGTTTCAGACAAGAATGAGGAGAAGAATCACAAGTTTCATGAATCTTGAAGAGTCTGAATATCACATGATTCTAACTCAAGACCGTTCCTCTGCTTTCAAGATTCTAGCAGAACTCTACTGTTTCAAAACGTGTCCGAATCTTCTGACGGTCTACAATTACGAGGACGAAGCAGTAGAGGAGATGATCAGAATCTCCGAGAAAAAGGGTGTCAAGCCCAAAGCAGCAGAGTTCTCATGGCCGAGCACTGAGATTGTGTCGGAGAAGCTGAAGAGGAAGATCACGAGAAACAAGAGAAGAAGAGACAAAAGAGGACTCTTTGTGTTCCCACTTCAGTCTCTTGTCACAGGAGCTTCGTATTCATACTCGTGGATGAGTTTAGCTCACGAGAACGATTGGCACGTGCTGCTAGACACCTCTGCTTTAAGCTCTAAAGACATGGAGACTTTAGGACTTTCTCTGTTCCGACCAGACTTTCTCGTATGTTCTTTTACAGAAGTTTTAGGACAAGACGATTCTCCCGGTTTCAGTTGCTTGTTCGTCAAGAAATCTAGCTCTCAAGCTTTGTCTGAAGCACCTGAACAAATCACGAATCCGGCGAATCTCACCGTGGTAAAAGCAGAAAATGACGAAAATACCCTTGGACAAAGTTCTTTGGACCACAAGGTCGCGTCCACGTCTGCCACTGATATAGTTGAAGTAGATGAAGAAGTGGATAAAGGCATTATTGAGTTTGGAGGGTTAGACCACGCAGACTCTTTGGGTCTAGTACTGATCAGTAGAAGGTTAAAGTCTTTGACTTTATGGCTGGTTCGAGCGTTGACGTGTTTAAAACACCCAGGCTCTCATCAACCAGAGATGCATCTTGTCAAAATCTGTGGGCCTAAAACGAGGCCGAAGCGTGGACCGTCGGTCTCGTTCAACGTTTTTGACTGGCAAGGCGAGAAGGTTGATCCTTTGGTAGTGGCTAGGCTTGCGGAGAGGGAGAAGATCGGTTTGCGATGTGCTTATTTGCAGAAGATTAGTAGGATTGGGAAGGACAAGAAGAGAAAGGATGAGAAACAGAACCTGAGGTTGAGAGTGTCGGTTGTGTGTGTTAGGTTAGGATTTATGACGAATTTTGATGATGTTTTTAGGGTTTGGGGGTTTGTTTCGAGGTTCTTGGATGCTGATTTTGTTGAGAAGGAGAAGTGGAGGAAGAAAGCTCTTGAGAAAAGCAAATGATGTGATTAGGAAGAAGGTTTGAAAAATCTGAATCCAAATGGTTTAGTTCCACATGTGGTTGAAGGTTTCGGGTTTGGTTCAGTTAGGTTAAATTGTGGTTTGATTAGGTATTCAATTTTTGGGCCTGGTGCTGTTTGGTAAATAGTCAACTTGGTTTCGGTTTGCTTTGAGATAAAACGAAATCAAACACACGTATTAATAATAAATTTAATGCTTTTAGCAATTTGGTTTGATGTAGACAACAATAGTATTCTTGTTCGCAGGTTTTCAAGAAGTTTTGCAGATTTGAGAGCATCATTAGTGTTACTAGATTCATAGCCCCCGCGTAAACAGAATACATTGACGATGCATTACGTAGTCTTATGTTTGAGATTATGGAACATTAGAAGTCACACGGTTTGATTAGTTTGATATAACGAACTATAAAATTAAGATGCGTTGGTATTTTTATTTGTGTATATATTTAGTTTTAATTATAATGTATATGAGTTTGAATGTAGAACGGGGTGGTATGCGCTATGTTCTTCATTTTCCTTTAGTTAGTTTAAGTGTTTAAACTACAGTTATGAGCTTTTTAAATAAGTTGAAAAGCCTGAAGATTGTAAGGATTGTGTCTATTTTATCCTAAGTGTTTTAATTAGCTTTAGACCGTTAACGTATGAACACATAACCTTCTAGATAAATTTTATGAACATGCCTTCTACGTAAATGGTGTGGCAATGTTTGTGGGACAATGTCTTAAATTTAACATAGCGTAATACTAAACCTGTTTGATGGCCAGTGTTTGTACTCTCGCTTTGGTTGTGACGTTTTAGTAAATTAGCTAAGCCCTTACTGTTAATTAAGCTAATTTTATTTACAGTTTAAACTATGCCTAATATAAAGCAATCTATGCTGTTCCTTTTAGGGATATTATATTTAAAATTTGTATGACACATGATCTTTCTATGAACACTGCTATAGATCGCATTAGACAAAACTACAAATAAAGGTAAACAGCTTTATACGTGCAAGAGGTAAATATGTTTGCCGACGGAAGATTTATTACAACAACAGCAAAAACCCTAGCTGTGAAAAGAGAAAAAAAAAGAGATTTTTTAGTTTCAAGCCGATGGTCGGAGGTTTCTATAGCTCCGACATCGGTTTGTTTAATTCTTCTTATTTTTATTTCTTTGATATAATTTTTTTATGGTCTTCTAGTTTGTTTGATTGTCAATTTATTTTGAATCTGTCAAAATTTCGGATTTTTCTTTTGTCTGGTTTTTCCAATGGATTTGGAATAGAAAAAAACTTTGGTTCAATTCAATCGTTTAAAAAAGGTAATTGACAGATCTACTGCAGATGGTGGCGACGAGTCTTACCGGCTTCAATCCTTGATGGTTCTTCACTTGATGGTGATGGATCAATTTTTTTGCTTAAAACTATGGTTACTTCGAAAGACAAGATGAAATTCTATGGAACGGTAATCTCTTTAGCTCTGTTATTATCAATAGAGCAATATAAAGAGTTGTCTTCTCTCGTTGGCTCCTACTGGAGTAATAAAAAAAGAGTAGCAATCATTCTTAACTAAGTCTCAAGCGTGGTGTTTCTGGATTAATATGAAGATCATCTCCTCTGAGATTCAACTATTTCAGAAGCAAATATGGAACTTTCACATGAAATTTTTTAGTCATCTATACGCTAATAGATGTGTAGTTTACTTTGGATCTCTAATGGTGTATTCCTTTTCTATATTGTTTTTGCCAATTCTCATTGTGTAAAACTATTCGACTAAATGGCTTAATAATACAATTCAGTGTTAAAAAAAGAGAGGTAAATATGTTACACGGTTGGATCGAAATATATAATTAGAACCTTTTAAAAAGGACTTGGAAAATAAAGATTCTAGCGCGACGAAAGTGATTTGAAAATAACGCAAGTAATACCAAACAAATGAAGTAAAACCCGTCATAGATAATTAAAAAGTCAAATCAAAGGTGAAGGAAAAATAAAAGGTGAAGGAAAAAGCTGAAGTTTTAAGTAGGAAACAGATAATGTAGCAGTTCATGAAAACCATATAGGTTAAAATGATGGGTTGATAGGAGTAGAGAATTCCAATCACTCCCTACCACGCTTGCGTTTCTTGTGGCCAACAGAAATCTCTGGAGGATCCTCTCCAGCAAACTCCTCACCACCCTTGAGCCCCAAAGAAGACGGCTCCGAAGACGAAGTCCCCGATTCTGCGTCTCCTGCGCTGCCTGAAAGAATGCTCCTTCCATGTTCCTGAGATACATGAACATCTTCTTTAAATGAAATGTACAAACAGCTAACAGATTGGTAAAAACAACTACACAACCTGGTCATGGTTCTCCATGGTAGCATCTTCAGTGAGAGTTGAGACCGTAAATGTACGTTGGTTGGGAGTGAAGTTGAAAGATGTGACCCGGATCTGAAACACAAACTCCCTCCCTGTTAGGTCCTCAAGACAACTTGGGAGAACATCCTCCACACCGTTTGAGCTCTGAAATAATGCAGTACTAAACGAAAGTCATTTGAAAACTACAATAACTCAATTGTGCCGTTCATACCTACTGACAAACTCTGCTACTTCAGGGACATCAGCACCAAAAAAAGAATCTAGTTCCTTGCATGGAGTTCAAGAACAGGTTACCTAATAGCTCAAAGACAACTTGTCAGGTCAAAAACCACAAATTTAAAAATCATCGGCTCTAATTTTATATGATAACCTCCTCATATGAATCAAAAAGAAAATGAGCCTTACCTCCAAACAGCTTTGGATTAACCCTTGTCACCAACATCACAGAACGGGTCATGTCCCCTGCTTTCAAGAGGCCCCTAAAAGTAGCCGCAGCCTCTTCCCACAAAGATAAATACACAGTAACGTCTTTAGCACAGAGAAAGAAGTATACTGTTTAATCAAGTTCAAGAAGCCTAGACTAACAAAAAATAATCAGATATAAGGCAGTAAGTTTGAGGAAAGCTCAACGCTAAAGCTAACCTAGATAATATACTGCTCTACTAACATGCTTCACAACATTATATAATAAATGAAGCTTCAGAGAGAGTCAAACGTTACATACGTTGCATTCAAGAGACTGGCCATTTCATTCTTGAGATCGGAACCCTGCACCGACCGGATTTCACCAACTACATCTGCAAGGTTTTTAACCAGTTAGGAATATGAAGATGAAACCAATTCGGAAAAAGATACTATACACACCTGGTAGCTCTAGGTTGGTGTTTGCCAGCACTTGAAGGTGGGCATAAGGCCTAACTAGGCCTGGGCATAAAATCCGAAACCCGAAATCCGAACCGAATCCGAACCAAAAAACCCGACCCGTTATCCGACCCGAAATGTAAAAATACCCGAACGGGTCTTATAGGATGGTATAAAAAAATCCGAACCCGAAGTGTTATTTAACCGAATCCGAACAGGTAACCCGAAATATCCGAAATTAATAGTTAATATAAATATTTTTAATATATATATATATAAATATTTTAGATATTCAGTTTAATGTTTATTTTGATATGATACATACAATAAATATTAAAATATAAATAAATACCTTAAATATATAATTAGTTATAAATAAGTACTTTGTAATTTGTTCATTAAAATAATAAATTTAGTTTATATGTAAGGTAATGCACATTGTTTACAAGTGATGTATGTTTTAATGTTTAGCATTTTATTTTTATCAATTTTATGTATGTATGATTAATTTATATTCAGTTTCAGTGTTTTTCTTTATGTTTTTGTTTCGAAATTTTGTTTTATACTTCAGGTATATTCGAACCGAACCGAAATAACCCGAATCCGAACGATATATGGTTACTTTACGGGTTTTATGCTGCAATACAAATTTGAACCGAACTCGAAGCGTTATTATCCGAACCCGACCCGTATTAGTAAAATATTAGAATAGGACCTATGAGCGTAAACCCGAAAACCCAGAAATCCAAAAAACCCGATCCGAACGCCAACGGGTACCCGAACGCCCAGGCCTAGGCCTAACCATGAATCGCTCAAAGTTGATCACAGGAGCGTCCACATGGACCTCAACAAATCGTGTTGAAGGGATGAAACGAATAATGAATTGATGCTCCGTGAGCTTGTACGTGTGTGGACAACGTGCAACTTCAAAGCGGTGCAACTTGAAAATAGAACCCGCCTTCAAGAAAGGACGACCTCAAATCAAAATGGATCCATCAAGTTCTAAAAACAAAAAATATTTAGGAGCTCTTACAGATGAGAGAAAGTAATCAAAACAATAAAATAAAGCTGTAGATCTAGACAAAACAAAGACAAATGAAACAACAGAAATAAAGGCCGATTCAAATTCTACATTTAATCAAAAAAAAAAAACAATCAGACACCATTGAAGCGAATCGAAGGTTTCAGATCGAAACCTAATTGGTTTTCGGAAGGAAAAGTCTGGTGATTTTCAAAACCTAATCTTACCGGGCCTAAATAAAAAAAGCTCATATCAAAAATCAAAGCCCGAATCTTACTATTCCAGTTATTTGTTTATGCTTCAGTCCCCTTCTCGTAACAGTCTTTTTTCTATCTACCCTTCTTTACATGTTTCTATGAACATCAGAACATGTTACTATAACAGGTTTGGTATTGTTGGGTAATTCCAAGCTTGTGGAAACTTAACATATTGCTGGATGTTTAATATGTTAAGGATAAACACAATAAGGAAATCTAGAAATAGGAAAAGGAAGTTTTCTATTAGATTAGGTTTATGTTTTCCATATCCCACATGTTCAAGGGAATTATCTTGCATATAAATAGATATCTATGGAGAGGTGTTCCATAAGATCTAAGAGAGTAGATATATGATCTAAGAGAAACATATTGTAAGCTTTAGTTTTGAGTAGTTTCTAAAGCTAATAAGAAAAGTTGTTCTTATAATCCTTTGTGTTTCTAGAGATTTGAATTGGTNGTATCAGAGCTTATGTTGAAGCATTGATCCAAACTTGAATTGGTATCAGAGCTCTTCAGGTTGGAGACTCGATCTAAGCTTAAGTTGAAGCTTTGATCCTGGTGCTTGTGACCAAGAGTACACGCGAGCAAGATGGCGGACGTGACTAGGGCTCCACGCACGATGAGGATGAAGGTTATGATGCGTGTTCATGAAGTACATGACACGATAGAACCTGGTTCGGATGATGAAAAGAAGAACGATGTTGCGTTTGCTCTTTTATTTCAATCCGCTTCCGAAAACTTGATTCTCCAGGTGGGAGAACAAGTAGCATCCGAAAGCTTGATTTTCCAGGTGGGAGAACAAGCCGCTTCTAAAGACATATGTAACGCCATCAGGTCACGACACCTTGGAGCTGTTCGTGTAAGGAGGGTGAGACTTCAGACGTTAGTCAAAAGAATGTCGAGTGTAACACATGAAGAAGGCGTGTGTGACACAGTGAAGCATATCATACACTCATTCCCGAGTGTAACACACGAAGAAGGCGTGTGTGACGCAGTGAAGCAAAATAGACACTCATTCCTGAGTGTAACACACGAAGATGGCGTGTGTAACACATGTCTAACAGAGAAGCAAATTAGACATGAATTCCCAGCTATACTATTGAAGAAGAAGCATGAGGTATTCGATCGGTTCAAAAGGTTGAAGGAACCCATCAGAACCTTTCTCACCGATAGAGGAGGAGAGTTTGCCTCAGCTAAGGTCAATATAGGTTTCACCGGTAGAGGAGGAGAGTTTGCCTCGGCCAAGTATAATCTAAGCTGCATCGATAGAGGAGGAGAGTTTACCTCAGCTAAGTTGAAGATGCCGAACTACTTATGGGTTGAAGCTATGGTAGCCAAGATGGAAGCTATCACAAGAAGCAAAATGTGGGAGCTTGTAGCCGAGATGGAAGATATCACAAGCAGCAAGATGTGGGAGCTTGTAGATAGACCGCCTTCTAAACCTACATGGTTAAAGTGGATCTACAAGATTCAAGGAGCAGATGGAATCAAGATAAAGGAGGAGAGTCCTGCTCAAGGAATCTTGTGTGTCGCAGATATGGAAGTGTGTAACTCGACTCAAGTTCCAATGAAGTCAAGTTACAAGTTGTCAAAAGCTGGAGACGAACTAGAGATAAGTGCTCAAGGAATCATGTGTGACACACATATGAAAGCGTGTGTTACAACACATGTACCAGTGGAGTATGTGGTTAGACCGGCTGGTGTTAAACATACAGAGGTATGTAACACAAAGATGGAAACGTGTAACACAACTCATGTAGGGGTATGTGATACACAGATGGAGACGTGTAACACAACTCACGTATGTGACACAAAGACGGAAGTGTGTAACACAACTCACGTACGCAAGATGGCGGACGAGACCAGAGCGAGTTTCAGCTGCAAGACTCGTCGCAACTTAAGTGAAGAGGTCAGGAGAAGGTTCTACAATAACTGGGCCAATTCTAAGAAGAGGCGATACAAAAGTGAGGAAAGCATCCAGTCTAACATTGAGAAAGATGTGAATACAATGGGTGGATTCGCATACTATCGTGTGGTGATGGATGATTACTTGAGGATTAAGTTCAAGGAAATGAGGAGCTTAATCGGAGTTCAAGAAATTGATCTCCCTAATTCAAGTTGGAATTAAGGGGGTGAATGTTGGGTAATTCCAAGCTTGTGGAAACTTAACATATTGCTGGATGTTTAATATGTTAAGGATAAACACAATAAGGAAATCTAGAAATAGGAAAAGGAAGTTTTCTATTAGATTAGGTTTGTGTTTTCCATNTGCATATAAATAGATATCTATGGAGAGGTGTTCCATAAGATCTAAGAGAGTAGATATATGATCTAAGAGAAACATATTGTAAGCTTTAGTTTTGAGTAGTTTCTAAAGCTAATAAGAAAAGTTGTTCTTATAATCCTTTGTGTTTCTAGAGATTTGAATTGGTATCAGAGCTTATGTTGAAGCATTGATCCAAACTTGAGGTATATGTTTGTGCAGGTGACCATATCCATTCTTTGATCTGTCACATTATGCCCCTTTATGGGATGCTACACAAACTCTCCGATCTACCCCTTATTTTGGTTATTAGCAAAAATATCGAGAGATTCAACATCTGGTAATCCAAAGGTTTGCATTCGGTTCTGTAACTGTAAGTATATACAATGGAAATGATTATTGATCTTGAATAGCTGGGTCTTTATTGACGTCGCAGGTATTCTGTTGTTACGTTGATGATGCATGTACATTTCGTTGGGATTTTTGCATTGATCGTGAAGTTTAATTACATGTTGCTCCCGAAAATGTTTCTCAGAAGAACCATAGTTATCAATAACATATATAGTCAGAATGTTTATAGTACACAGTACAAAAGATAAATTAACAGATCTTTTCGTTGATTTTGAAATGTTAAAATGGAAAACCATTTGCATTTTTCAAATCTTTTAAAAGTCTTTGGCACTCTGAATTAGGTTGTTGTTTGGTGAAACTCTAAATATTGGAAAATTATGTCGTTGTTTAATGTACCTTATATCGCTGTTTAATATATTTTATATAATTACTTTACATAAAAAAAACAAAAATTAATGTGAAATTATGAAAATCCATGAGTATCTATAAGAGTTATATGGATTCTATGAATATAGATGCACATATTCTTTTAAAGTCCATAAAAAATTTCTAATTCCTTAGAAATCTACCAACTTTTCAAAATCATTAAATCGTCATGAATCAATCTCCCAATAACCTCCTCCTTAATTATTATAAAGCTAATTTTCTCATTACTTAATTATACAAAAACATTTTACAATTATAGTCACATTCTTTTTAATGAA